TATTCAGTTTAGCATATTAGTTGCTGACTGAAATGTCACCCCGTTTCAAGCCTTAGGAGTCCCACATTCCGCATGTTCTGCTGCTTTTGTTCCAATCAGGCCTCAATGCCAACTAATCCTATCTTTGTCTACACGAGATTTACATGGAAGACGCTCCGGCCAAAAGTACCATCTACCGCTGGTTTTCCAAATTCAAAGAAGGGGCTACTCCATGATATATGACAGCCAAACAGGTCGCCCAATGACTTCGGATTTGAATTTATTGCGGAACGAAGTGGAACCTAATCTACACAGAACTATGCGTGAATTAGAGTCAAGCCTTGGTGTAGCTCAAAACACTGGAAAGAGGTTTGATATCTGTCGGTGAAGTCCAAAAGCTCTATCGATGGATTCCCTATGTCCTCACACAGCAGGACACTCGCAGGGCGGAGTCGCACTTTCACTCCTCACTTTTAAACGCACTAGAAGTGGTTGGATCATCTGATTACTGGGGATGAAAAGTGGGTACTGTACTCTAACATCCAGCGCCGTGCTAAAGTGGGTAGACAAAGAAGACAACGTACAGGCCACCCTGAAGCCCGATATTCATGGTAAAAAGTAATGCTTTGCATCTGTTGGAGTACACGGCGTCGAACACTGGGAGCTACTTGATGAAGGCGTAACAATAATAGCTAAGATCTACATTACTCAGCTACGTCTTTTGAGGTCCCAGGTGCAGGAGAGCCGAGGACACCACCTGGGCCCGGCACGAGTTTTCTAGGGTTTCGGGAAACGAAGTCCCCTTGACTTTCGGAAGTTTTACGAGGTCCTCTTTGAATTACCTACTTAAGGGAAGACGAAAACAAAGGAGATTTACCGGTCTGAAAGAAAAAACGTGAGATAAGAATGAAAATCCAAATCGGAGCTGAATACTACGCATGCACAAGAGTTTGGCATTGGAGCGCGATTTTTAACAAAGCGATTTATGAAGAAATTGAGGAAAAAACAAAGGAAAGGCAATGATATGAAATTGTCTCAATTCAGGAATGGATTTTTGACCGGGGATTCCGTCCATGATAGAAAAATCCAAAACTTATATAAAGTGACAGAAATTCATGCTCCATATGATCTCAGATCGTATGGTGACCGTCTGGAAACGGACGAATTCTGGAAGAGGTCTTACTCATATAAGTTTCCTCAGACACTGGGAGCGGACGAGCCGCGGCCCATTACAGGGTGGAATTTAGCAGCTCCGCGGGCCGGCCGGCGATAAGCCTCGGCCGTTCGTATGGCCTCGGCTCGGCCGCAGCTGGTTTTCGGGCCGTCCGTAGTTTATTCTAGCCCAGCCTAATTGGGCCTTGGCCCACCATTTATAAGGCTCTCCTTTGTCACTAAATCATATAGAATTTGATAGCCTAAGACGGACACATGTAACGGTAGAACCGTCTTTTATTTACTGGCACATAATGAAATACACAGTAAAAGACCAAAAATTGGAGCCACCATATAGCGGCTTCGGAGGCCAAATCCGACTTCACGATTGGATAACTCCAATTGCTATCCAAGGTTGTCTGCAAGACAACATATTGGTCTCCTTCCTGAGAGACTTGAAACACATCCAAGGCTATGGACATTGAGGGTGGCCTAACCATGTGGGCGGCGTGGCTTTATACTACAAAGACCTCGCCGCCAAAGCTCGCCGCCATAGTCGGCACGCGCACCGAGCTGGCTTACTTACTCCGCACCCATTTTGCACCGGTGAGCCTGAGCCATGAGGCAATCGCGCGAATGCAGCCTCGTCAGCTTTGTCGCGGTGCGGCGTCGCGCGCGATGTCGCGAATTTTACAAGAAGTTATATGAAAATACTCAGAAAAAATTCCTCTTTCAGATTTTAACGTGCGATATCGTTCGTCGCGCCGCATAAAGTGAAAATTTCACAAAAATTTGTTAATTTCTTGTTTTTATTTGATTCATGTTCGTTTATATTTCCAAATAAAAACAAAAGATTCGTTTGGAAACTCTCTAGTGTTTCAGTTTTCTTTTTTTGCTTCACGTTTGTTTTTGCCATGGTATAGATACCTAATTGTCACTGCAAGCTGTGACCTGTGGCCTAGATTGCAAGTTGAGGTTAGTAGCACGGCGATGATGACTTGCGGACTCAACTTATTAGGACAAAAGTAGGTAGTTGCTGCCAGATTTTCTTTCCTCAATTTTACTTCAAAATGAACATGAATCAAATAGAAAACAGGAAATCAACAAGTTTTCTTTTTGAAATTTTCACCTTATGGGTTGTTTCAGACTGCCGCACTGACCGCAGCAGACTGCAGCAGACTGCAGCGGACTGCAGCAGACTGCAGCAGACTGCACTGACCGCAGCTGACTGCAGCAGACTGCAGCAGACTGCAGCTGACTGCAGCTGACCGCACTAACCGCTAACCACACTAGCAGAAAAACGCTCGCCAAAGTTTGACTGAGAAGAGTGAAATTAGAACCTATGATCTCCTTGGACGTAAATTACGGTGTTTTGACGTAACCGCGGTTGTTTTCTTTCAAAAAGAATGCAGGGATCGGCGCGGTCGTTGCGGTCAGTGCGGTCAGCAGCAGTCTGCTGCAGTCTGCTGCAGTCAGCTGCGGTCAGTGCGGACTGCTGCAGTCTGCTGCGGTCAGTGCGGCAGTCTGAAACAACCCTATGCGGTGCGACGGACGATATCGCACGTTAAAATCTGAAAGAAGAATCCTTTTCTGAGCATTTTCATGTAACTTTTTGTAAAATTCGCGACATCGCAGCGCGACGTCGCAAGGCGACAAAGCTGACGAGGCTGCGTGCGCGCATTGCCTCATGGCTCAGGCTCACCGGTGCAAAATGGGTGCGGAATACAGTAAGCCAGCTCGGCGCGCGTGCCGACTATGGCGGCGAGCTTTGGCGGCGAGGTCTTTGTAGTATAACGCACGTTCCAACCATGCGTCGTACATCACGCAAGTATCCTTTACGCTAAGAGACTAGGAGCGGCCTAGCCGCGGCCTTCATTTGACATAAGCCGCGGCTTGGCCAGAGTTTCTTACACGGATTTTGGTCCGCGGCTCAGCCGCTGCAATGCTCTACCCCCATCTTAAGGCCGCGGCTGACCCGGTAAGCCATACTCAGCCCGCGGCTCGGCCGGTGCAGTGGTAATGACATGAACGAAAGGCCGCGGCTCGGCCGCACTCCGACCACGCCCCCCGGACGGGCTGAAAAGGCCTTTCGAGGCCGCGGCTCGTCCGCCCCAGTGTCTGAGTTTCAAATCTTTTTACATAATTCTTTTGCAAATAATTTTCCATGTATACAGCGCAATTTTGGTGTCATACGACTCTGTGTGCGCTGTAAACAAACATTTTTTTTCATTTTAGCTCTGCTTTCAAATCGCGCGCACTTTTCAACATACACGATAGAGCGTATCAACCGTGTGATAACCTGTCTGAAAAGCCTGTGTTCGACTAAATGGGGCTTATTCTTGGTGCTCGGCCCTTACCAAAGCGATATCTCCTTTGCTTTTTGCTCCAAAAACGAAGTCCAGCCTGCTTCCAGACGATCTGTGCCGGGCCCTGGACAGCAGGCCATTCACTTTCACAACGATAATGCAAGACCACATATTGCGACAGCGACCTAGAGCGAGTTAGCAACGCACGGATGGACCGTCTTACCCCTCCCTCCTCCCTCCGTATTCAGCCAATCTCGCTCTCGGATTACCGCCTCTTCCCTGCTCTCCAACGTCACCTAGACGGCCAGGTTTTCAAAAAACGTGAGGAGGTCAAAGCGGCATTGGATTCATTCTTCAAAACGTTCTGACCAGAGGCATCCACGATCTACCCAAGTGTTGGCAGAAGATTTACGAAGCTACGGTGGCTATTTCAAGTAATTTAATGCAGTGGTTTTTGTATGGCGAATTAAACAATTTTGAGTCGCAAATGTGCGAGAACTTTTCCCTAATATTTAGCTCATAACATTTATCAGCGTGCCTTGATTTCGTTCTGCGAGTTTTTCTGTACAGCAAGCAAGAGCTTTCGACCATATTTATTTTTCAGTTTCCCTTCTCATGTTTTTGAAGTCCTGCTACGACGACTTGATAAGTTAGTTCAAAAATAATTGAGTATCAAGTCTGTGTATTCCTTAATTAGAGTTTTCCTTTATCTTCATCCTTGTTCGCTTTATGCAGAGTACACTTTATTAGACGTCGCGGTAATCTTGAGTCGTTTTGATTCGGCGCTTAGCCGCTTAGTACGCCTGGTCTCGTCTTTAATGATTGTTTGCTACTTTGTGTATTTCCTCGTTGATTTTTTCACAATTAAACTTTTGTCCTAATGTGAAAAGACAAACTTATGAACCACTGGTGTTAGTACAAGATAAGAAAGTTGAAAAGACAAATTTCACTAAAAAGTGGTCGTGGATGTAGAACCTATCCTACACAAACGAAGCAAAGAAAGATGCGGCCGTCACCAGCAGCACAAGCACTGTACAAAGAATGCCTGTGAAACTATAAGATAAAGCTGATAACAACCAGCACAATAGGAATGCTATTTGTTATTTTAGGTGATTCTCGGCACTCTTTTGAGATACTCAGAGTCAGTACGAAGTCATTACATCGAAGTCGCGAGAATACCAAACCTGCTAAGAAACAGATCCTTTGCAAATTACGTTGGCATCAAAACTTATGTGCGCGTAATAATCTTTCTCGAACTTCCTTATTAGAGCTTGAGAAAAAAGCTTGGCATTTAGCTTACAACGTGCAGATGAGGGTATCAAGTCAGTTCAACATTGAAAGCCTGAATCAAACTTTTAGTCTCTTCTCCAAGTCAGGATTACTACCCAGCATATCTATGAAATACAGAAAAGAAGGAAGAATTAAGGTCGACAAAACGGAAAAATGCTTTTGAACTGTGGAGTGCGACCATCATTCATAGCTAGCAGTTTCACTTGAAGAGAGATTGAGCAAAAGATTTGCTATCCAAACCTATTTGAAACATTGACAAGCCTGAAAACTTACCACGATAAAGCAAGCTGACTAACCAGGGAAACTCGTTGCTCTGTACAGATCGTCCTCCAAATGATTTATATTTGGAGTTTCCTTAATGCGCGTTTAATGGACTGTCATGATATAATCTTTCGCTCACTTCTGAAGATTTTGGCCAGGCATGCTTTCTTCAATTGCTGATTGTCTTTTTCCGAAATACGAATTGAGGCGATCACGGATAGGAAGAGCAACCATAACAAGCGTCTCATCTGTGATAGACCTCTTAAAAGTACTCAAAAACTTGAAAATTTCAATTCCATTTTCCATGAGTGAGCTTTGAGAAGTTCTACAGACAAATGACGTTAAAATCTAATAATGTAACAAAAACAATGTAACAATAAATCTAACAATCAAATTTATATGCAACTACAATGCGATCCTTTCGAACACAACCCATATTAATCATTATTATTGAGTGTATCACTCGTCACAAATGAAAATGCAATTGAAAATGAATAAAAACGTTTCTCATTGATTTATCTGGTTAGAAACGAGAAGAATCATTTTTTCTAACGTATCGCGGATTCGCAGCAACTGCTATCTTTGGAGAACTGAAGATAAGTGATTTGATAGTATAAAAAAGTTTCTACAAAAATGGTGTATCAAGGCATGATCGTACTGATGCATGGTCGTGTAGCTGTCAGAAATGCAAATTTAAGTGATAACACTGCGCCTAAAAGCAAAGAAACGTAAAGGCGCTTTCCCATCACACAACGACGATGCTGATATAGCCTGTTCCAGGCGGTATCGGCTTTGACGTCGCTCCTGCCTCAATTTGCTAGGGTGCATTGTGATCCATCCGATCTCTGTTAGAGATCGGCCGTAGGTTGCCGGCAAGTCTCGCCGAGGTTGCCGAGGTTGATGGGGTTGCCGCTTAGGAGCGTTCGTACTGCCCCGGAAGTTCGGAAACAGTTCCAGCACAACGCTCAGATCGAACGCTTTGCTGGAACTGTACCTACAACCCCGAACTTCGGAATCAGTATGAAAGCAGCCTTAGCGCATAGCTCGATGAGACTACTGTGAGATCCTGCAACGACCGGGTACCTGGTCAACCACTGCCGACAACTTATGGCCGATCACTTGCAGTCGGTTTCATCCCGGATTAGGCGAAACATTTTACGTGGAGCAGCGCATGCGCATCGCTGAAGGCTTCGCGAGCGCATAGCGCTGGCATTTTGCCAAGCAAAGACTAAGGGGAATGTAGCGTGGGCTTGGGTTCCCAGCACCATATGATATACTGTAGCTGCGAAACGGCGCGAAATGTTGCGAGGCGGAATCCCGCCAATTCACTCTCCGCCTAAAACGGGTTGAAACTTGCTGTATGTGTCGAAGCACATCCTGCAACAATGCTTCGTCACGTGGCATTCTTCTCGTGACCAATCTCGGGTAAAACAGCTTAGAACTTTGGAACAAAATTGTTTTTTGTATTGTATTTTTTTCGAGCACTTGAAGACATTTTGGAAACCATAAAAACTCTTTTGAGTTGCGAAAAATTTGTAGAGGCGCAGTAGCAAACATTGGATTTCACCGTTGGGCCGGTCTAGTCCTTACAGAAAATCGTAATCGTACAGAAATTGCGATTACGATTTTGATCGTTTGTTTTGACATTTGCATTCATTAAATTAAGTAAAAAACAAAGCTTTGCTTTCTCAATTGTCCCATCTAAGCATAAGGCAGCCGCTATACTCCTCGAGGACTATAGCATGGCGACGGGCGACCGTCAATCGCTACGACTGGCCATCGCCAGTTTCCGGCGACTACACGTTTGATATGTATCGATTTGATGTGTGGTAACTTGTTTGCGATCAATAGGGTTGTGAAGTGCAGTTTTTGTCGCCGATATTGGCGATCGCCAATATCGGCGACAAAAATCAAAGGTTTTACACGTATTTGATGCGTATCGATCGTCGCCATGCTATACTCCTCGAAGAGTATAGCGACTGCCAAAAGCAACAAGAATTCTCATTCTACAATAAAAGGGCCTAAATCATCTCAGATGGCGAGTTATGGGCATTGCTGATAGTTTGGCACTGTTCAGTTTTGCTATTCTACTCTCTGTTTATACATACGCTGAAAGACGGAAGAATCAGATTTTGTGGTTATTTTCGCATGTAAACCAACACGCATGAACCTTGGAAAAGCGGTCAATTGATCAGAGGAACAAAGGCTCGTAGTGTACTCTCCATCAGCGCAACTCGACTCGACAACTCGGCGTACGTTGAACGTAGGACGCCTTAGCCTAGCATGCAGTGAGCTATTGATCTGGGTGCGGGCCGCTTTCTAATCATAATAATCAGGTGTGTTCTTGAAAACGGAACCGTTTGAGCGGATTTGGTCGAACAGGTAAGCGACTGGAATTGAACGCGCTCGGCCATGGTTCAACACGGCTAGCGCCACAATTTTGCGGTATCGCCTGCCGTCTTTAATAGCGACCACTATCGCAAAACCGATGATGACCGCTGTCAAGGATCATGCCTAGCACCTTTATGGATGAAATAAAAACTTTAACGGAAATCTCACGGAAAAATGAAATACTTGGAACATAAACTCAATGTAAATCGATAAATTCTTGTGAGCAGCTTTTCGAGAAAAAGTCAACGAACTTTACAAAGTAGGACTTTAACTTTACATAGTAGAAGGTTTGCGCTTTATAATGTACGTCTGAGCAGAGCATTCTACCGGGATAGCCGCCGGGAACGAAGCTTTCAAAAATGGCGTTCCAAATTGTGATTTTGAGTTTGGCGCTAGGCAATCGCGGAGGGCCGGTAGCTAGCTCAAAAGATGTGTAAGCATTTCTGACACAGCAAGAGTTCAAACGCTGCTTGGGCAGGCTTCAGTTGTATGGAAACGCAAGAATAAAAGGTTTGAGGAAAGTGTCATTTTGCAGGAAAAATCACCTTATCGCTGCTGTTTTCCCGTAGAAACACGGTCTGGGACCATAAACCAAGACTAGTGTCCATTTAAAACACTGTGACGCTTTTTGCAGTGACAAACAGCGTGGCGCTAAATTAGTACATTAATGAGGTGTTTTTTTGTATAAAATAACACTTTCTTCAAATTTTCTTTTGCATTCCTACAAGATTGAAACCTGCCCAAGTCGTTGAACTCTTGATGTGTAAGCTTTGTTCTCGGTGGCTTATGCCATAGGATGCTATGCTTGAGCATCTATTATGAAGCGCAAACCTTCTACTGTTTTGGGGATATCGAAGTGAGAATTCAGATCTAGTATTTAAAAGTGATTGATTTTCGTTTGAACTACGCAAGAACTTTCGCGCCGACCTAATAAAATGTGATCGGTCCTATGTGGTTACAACTTGCTTCATTTATTCAGTGAAAGTCAGACTGACGCAAATTCTACAGCGACATGATTCGGCATCGTTTATAATATCATGTTATCGTTTTACAACGACGAGGATTCTTGATGTTGTGGAAACAGAAGGTCTCTGCTGTCACATAACTCGGATATAATCCTCAATGTGAGAGGAGCACATGCGTAACGGCAAACGCAGGGGTGGGGGGCGAGAATGGAAATAAAATAGATCGCGAGTTTCAACTGTGGTCTACACAAACTGTAAATTGATCCAGTCAACTTGTTTTAAATATTCGCATATAACATTGGGTTGATTTATAGTTAATGCACGTTCTTCTCACCTTTTATTCTAAACGCTGCTTTGTTGTTGTTGTTATGTGCTGTTTTGTGCTACAACAGGGCCTGACACAGATCGTTTACAGGCAGGCGTGGACTTCGTTTTGAGTTCGTATATTAGGTTGTCTCATAATTAATGCACGTTTTTCTAACCTCTTTTTGAGAGAGATGATTTTCAAAGAAGAAACATTTTTCTTTATAACCCTCTATAGTATCGGAAAGCCCGATTCCTCTAGTTTCTAACATTTGCTTTCGTTTTCGCAAATCTTTGTTGAAGCCGAAGCAGGTGATTAAATTATGAAATTCTTTCCATTCACTCTCATTGCTCTAAATTCATGAAAAGTAGATGGAATTTTTTTGAAAAAAATATGCGTAATGATCGCGAAGCTTTGTGCTACAAAACGCTTGTCAGTATGAGATTTCTGAAAAATTCCGGGCCGAGTAATCTTGTCTCAAACTTGGCTGGTAGCTGAGGCCCATCTAAGCCGCATAAAAACCTCAAGCGAAAAGCGACCGTGTAAATTACGCTATGTACACGTAGAGTAGACCTTGTACAATTAAAGCTAGGAAAACGGCAATATTTCATCGTCTTTTTGAAGAGAAAAAAATTTGAAAAATCTTAAAAAGGCAGTTTTTGGATTTTTTAAAATATTGAAAAAATGTGTATTTCCAGTTTTTTTGCAAAATTTTCTGACAGAAATATGCGGTAAAAATCGAACTACGCTCCATTGCACAACCGACCATCGGCTATATAATGGGCAAAGTCCGCGCGATCCTAGTGCATGTAAGCGAAAGTTAAGCTCTCTCAAAGTATAGGGTTTCAAAAAAATGTTCGGGAATTTCTTAGGTTATAAAATCTTTCTTAAAGTGGCTGCGATCCAACAAAAGCATGCGTTCTATAGTCAAAGGTTTGTTGTTTGCAGTGATTTTTATTGCGCTTAAAAAGATGGTTTTGGAAAAGAGTTATCTTATTTAGAAGTTGAAATTCATAAAAGTGCATTAATTATGAGACAACCTGATATTTTGTCTTGTTCTACAGTAATCATGCTATTCCTTTCTTTCGTTTAACGCTTTCCTCTCTCACATCTTACATGTAGGGGATGTTATATTGTCAAAGGTGATACGGAATTTCTTCAAAGCGAGTTGAATTTGGTAGTTACTATTGTCTAGAGGAAGGAGTGGGCATGAAGGCGATCTAGACATATCGACCGATCTGTTGATATCCGATCGTATACCAAGGCAAACAACCCAGGAAAGCAATTATCTTTTTCCGATTTTACTGTCATTTACAACACTAATTCAGTTGAAGCCGTGCCCGAAAGCGTGGTTGTGGAACTAAGTACTCCATACTTGAAAGATGAAAGAGTTGTGTCCAGTGTGAAAAGATATTCAGTCTTGGCTTATTTGCACTTTCCGCCTTTTCTCCAGATGCTGCTGCGGCGATGTTGTTTGTCCACAATCTAGCTGGTGCATCTGAGAACGAGCCAAGTATAGTCAGAATGTGCTTTAATTCCTTCATATGCTGTTCCATCTTCTAGTGCGCAATTCTCGTTCATCATCAGCTATAGCATTAGTAAGTAGGTAAGA